ATCGCCTGTTACTGTGTTTTTCTTTCCACAACAGCCTACACCAGAGGTGGCTAAATTTCAAGAATGGAAAACAAGCAGTCTCCTATTCGTGACATCAGTTTGCAAAGCAATTTAGTGGCAGTCCAGAAGATGAAATGTCTTAGGAAATATGGAATTCCGTTTCCATTATGAAAAAAAAAATGAACAAATACCCAGTGATCTAGTGACGTCCCTGAGGCGTAATACACCCCACACGGGCCTCCGTGTCCAGCTTCCTAAATAACAATTAATTGTTTGGGATACCCCAAACTACAGTACAGACAACAGGAAGCTAAAGAGAGCAGCAAAAATATATTCGAAGAGCAGAGTTGGTAAGAAGGAAGGAAGGGTAATAAGAAGAGCTGACAAAGAGGCTGAAAACGAACAGAGGACGGAAGCCCACGCGCGGAGGATGGGAGGCTCACCCCCCTCCGCGACACATCAAGAGCCCACGGGGCCAATCGCCTCCCTACCTCCCACCCGGAACAAATTAATCCTCCGCACTCCAAACTGAGGGCCACATGGGGGAGTTTGGGGCAGCTCCACCCCATCGCCCTACACCCCCACCCCCCACACCAGGCCGGATCCGGATCCGAGGCCCGCTGGGGCTGGAAAGGGAGGAGGCCGCCTCCTCCAGCACAGGCCACGGTAGCCAGAGTCCTACCTCCAGCCAGGGCCCAGACTCGCTCGCTCGCGCTCTTTCTCACTCCCCCACCTCAGGCTCTAGCCGCATGCCCCCCCACCCCTCTCCGGCTGCCCCAAGCCCCGCCCCGTCCACGCTCCCAAATCGAGGCCCGGGCTCTGGCGCGGCCCACTAGGCCGCGAACCCAACCATAAACAAAACCTCCAGCGGCCGACTCGAGGGGTTGGGGGGGAGGACGCCCGGGTTCGCATGAATAGAAGGGGGAGGGTGTACAGTGGGGGGAACACACGGTGCGGGGGGGGGGGGGGGGGAGCGCCTACCGCAGGAAAGGGATACAGTAAGGGTAACGGAAAAAGAGGGAGGGTAAAAGGGGGATCGCGGATTTAAAGGGGCCGTGGACAATACCCGGCCCCGCCGCGCTGCCGCTGCCGCCGCCGCCGCCGCCAACGCCGCTGTGCTCCCAACTTTACCTCAGTCTCCTCCACACTGACACCCTGGGCCACGCCGCCCCTGTCACGTGATATAAGATTCCCTCTTCCCCACCCCCTCCCTCCTTTTCCCTCTCGCGCTCGCTCTCGCGCCTTCCCCCTCCCACTTGCCTTACTGCGTCCCTCGCCACGTGACTCGAAAGGGGCCGCGCACGTCAGCGTGCGCGCGCCACAGCGCCACGAAACACAGCGCTTGAGTTCCGCGCGCCCGCCCTGCCCCCTCCCACCTATGGCTCCTCCTCCGTCACGTGACGTGCGGAAGGCCTCCGCTTCCTTTTACTGGCGTAGTTCCGCATCTCCGCCCTAGGCGTTCCCAGGTGCCTTTGCCTGCCTGAGTCACGTGGGGGTCGGGGGTTGGAAGCGGGAAGGTACCAAGCTCGACTAGTGCCTGCGTCCGCCATGTTTTCTGGCCGACATTCGTTTGGTCTTTCCCCGTGAGGAAATGGCCGGAGAGCGCCACAGGGAACAGAGGTGCCCTGGCTGCGGCTCAGCCTGGGTTAACACAGCTGGGCGGCAGGAAATCCCGGCATCTCTGCGCAGGGAGGGAGGCGATGGCGTCCAGCAGTAATTGGCTGTCCGGGGTGAACGTCGTGCTGGTGATGGCCTACGGGAGCCTGGTGAGGAGATCCCTACTTTATTCCTCCGGTCGCGGCTGACCCAGTCAAGAACCGTTCATTCTTCACCCTCTCCACCTGCTTTACTTCTGGGCTTCTGACTCTTGTCCCGGAACTACCTGGAAGTCTGAGTCACAGACCCAACCAAACCTGCCCGCTGCTGGGAACCCTTGCTCTTAAGTTGCAGAGCACAGTAGGGCCTCCTTGCTGTTAGCCCTAGACCCACCCCCGTCCTTAAGAACCTCGCTTTGCCCAAGTGTCACCCCGAAATATCTGTCTCAGAGAACTCGAACCTGGCGATTTTGAATGAGAGAGTACTTTTTTATGTGTATGAATAGATTGCATGTAGGTAAGTGCACCCATGTCGTGCAATGCCTTGGAGGCGGGAAGAGGGTGTCAGATCTCTGAAACTAATTACAGATGGTTGTCAGCTGCCATGTGGGTGCTGGTACTGGAACCCCGGTCTTCTGCTAGAGCAGGAAGTAGTCCAAATCGCTGAGCCATCTCGCCAGCCCAAGAGCATACTTTCTTTAAAAAAAAACTTTTTATTGTGTGTGGGCACCATATCACAGCATGTGTGGAGATCGAAGGACAACTTTGTGGAGCCAGGTCTCTCCACCCTGGGGGTCCTGGAGATCAAACTCATGTTGTCAAGCTTGGCAACAAGTGCCTTTACCTGTTGAGCTATCTCCTTAGCCCTAACTTTATTACAATATTAAAGATGTTTCCCTTTTTGCACAGGTGTTTGTACTGCTGTTTATTTTTGTGAAGAGACAAATCATGCGCTTTGCAATGAAGTCAAGAAGGGGACCTCATGTTCCTGTGGGACATAATGCCCCCAAGGTAGGTCCTTAGGGCACAAGATAAACCTGGTTCGGCAGATGTCTAGGCCCTGGAAATTTTCCTCTGCCATTTAAAGATGACATTATTTCTTTTCCATTTATTACTTCCTTTCATAAACTAAGTAAGAACTGACTGAGGACTTTTCTCACTTGCTCACTGCTGTAACATAACATGTACTTTACCTAATAATTGTTAGGGTTCGGGTAGCCTCCATCCAGACTTGGATTCTTATCCAATATGGCCTGATCTGAAGTCACTGGAGAGTTTTATCTTAATGCCATAATTTCCTGCATAGCCTAGTTTAAAGTTGTCCAGCATCACCTGGAGGACAGTTTGACAGCTGGACGGGGAGGAACCCATCTGAAAAGTGCCTGGTATGTATGTAATGAGTGCATAGGAAGGGGTGGAGAATGTTAGTCTCCCTCATTCAGATGACTTCCTAGCTGGCCACCTCTTGGTGACTTAAGAGGTCTTAACTTAGGGCCACGTGTATAATCCCTGTCACCTGAAGGTGAGTGCCCATTTAGGTTACACAACCTCAGCAGAACAGCAGGGTGAGGCCTAGCCAGATTCCATGGCCCCATAGAGCCGTGGAACCATTACTTTTATTCTCACACTCACACACTCATTCAGAGTTTAAGACTGTTCCCTAGTTATTCCCTCTAAATTCCTGTTCTGCCTATAACTGGGCCAGGACCTTGGGATCACGTCAAGGTTTAGCTGTGGCCCAGTCTGCTGCCTGATTCCTGTTTTACCTTAAATGGGGCTAGCACCTCAGAATCACATTGAGGTTTAGTTGTGGTCCCCTTCGTTCCTGACTGGAGGCCAGTGCCATCTTGGAATCACATCAAGACTTCCCACGCAGTCTCCTGTGGGGGATCAGCTTGTGCTGGCTTCTACCTGTCTAACCTGGGGCCTGTTACCCGGTCTGGACATCCATTCTGAGTCTCTGTCTTGCTTCACCTGATGAGAAGCTCCGGTCCGGGCCTATACAGCTCTCTCTGGCCTCCTGGAAGTAGACCCTGAGAGGAAATTCTTCAGAGGTGCACACTTCTCTGTTCCAGGGGTTGAGGGGGGACTGGAGGGTCCAGGAGCGGCAGCCTCTATACCAATGAGGGTACGGGACTTGCTCTCACTGGGGACCAACCATTGTAGCTGTGAATGCAAAGCAAAGTTCTTTGGATCTCTTCATTCCTAGATACAAGCTATGCTGGAAAAGAAACTCATGAAGGTAGCAGAAGGAACAGGGTATATGTCCAGCACATAAATCAGTGGGTTGTTTCTCTGACAGCATATGTCTCTCCTGAGCACAGCCTGTGACTTTCCATGTACACTGAAATTTTAAATGTTTGGATCTAGTTAGAAAAGTAGGCACCTCAGGACCACATGGTCTGAGCACAAGTTGCTTGGTGCCCAGCAGGGTGTAAGATCAAAGTTTCAAGCCCCACTGCCTGAAAAAAAGTTCAGGGAAAAAAAGGGCTTTTAAAATCTTTTTCAGTTTATCAGCAGCAAATTAAATTTTTTTTAATATTTTTATTTTATGTGTATGTGTGTATTGCCTTGCATGTAGATAAGTGCACCCGTGTCATGCAATGCCCACAGAAGACAGAAGAGGCTGTGGATTCCCTGGAACTGGAGTTACAGACAGTTGTTAGCTGCCATGTGGGTGCTGAGATTCAAACCCAGGTCTTCTGCAAGAACAGTGTTCTTAACTGCTGAGCCATCTCTCTAGCCCCCAAATTAAATTCTTTAAATGCTCCAGTGAAGCCTCCCAGCAGCTTCAGCCTAAGCCCAAATGCCCCAAGGCAAGATAGCAAAATGGATAAGGAAGTTCACCTGCTTTGCTTAAGAGACAAATTCAGTGTGCACCTGAAAAATCTTTGCATCACCAACAAATAAATTATTAGAATTTTGGGGTCCCATCTGAGTCGAAACAGGGAGAAAGAGGGTCCCCTAGAGGATTCTTAGTCTCATTCATAAAAGAATTTAAGAATGGGCCCAACCGGAAACTTATAATTTTATTAGACTCTTAAAAATCCTCAGGGTAGGCAAGCTGGTAATCTTGGCAGCTCCTTGAAGAGGTGATTAGTGGGAAGGAAAGAAAGCCATGGAGCCATGCAGGTTTAGAGCCTGTGTGGGAGGTCAGACACGTGGCTGACTTGCAGCCATATGGCTGGGAGAAGGAAGCTTTAGAGAAGAAAGCAAAGAACAAAGGCCAAGGTAGAGAAGGGGGGGTAGCGGAAACCCCCGAGGAGGTAGGAACCAGTGGGTTGGGGTCCCATGAAAGTCTTGAGAACTTGATGGGAGGCACAGAGGGAGGGATTAGCATGGAGCTCAAAAAAACACTTAGACATAAGGGAGCTCAGACCTTTTTGCCTTTATGATGGCAGAAATTATCTAAATCTCTCAGAATATTGAAGTCTAAGATTTCAGTGTCTGGCCAAACAGAGTCATTATCTAACTTGTACTGGGGCCAGGCAGTGGTGTCAGTGGAACTTTAAGTGCTTTGGCCTGATTGTATCTGAGAGTCCTAGTTGTTTTAAGGATTTAAGAAGCTAAGCAAGAGTGAGGCCCTCAGACTTGGACTGGATGGTTCCCATAGGGACTGATTACTCACAGATGACAGAGGAGATAGAGAAGGAACTGAGCAAGCAAGTAGGAGGAGACAATGAGGATCCTCTCTCCAAGGGGAGTGGAGGCAGGGATGGCAGCCAAGAGTCTGGGCAGGAAAGTGCAGGATACAAAGAAGAGAAAGGCAGGAGGGAACAGGAGGAGGATTTGGCATAAGTCATGCAAAAATGAGACCATGCAGAACCAGTCACCGAGGAAAGCGTCCTTTCTCAGGACAGGCCTGAGAACAAGTTTTTTCCAGTCCCTGGAGGCAGCATTGTGCAATCAGATCACCAGGGAGGGAAAAGGTGAGCTCCTGTCCAGGACAGGAAGGGGTGCATGTTTCTATCCCTGGGAACAGCATCCCGTACCCAGAGAAAGGAAAGGGCTGACACACCTGTGATTTTTCAAGGTGAGTGCAAGACGAGCAGAAAACCCTGCGACGAGAGTGTGGCGCAACCAGCCAGTAGAGGGAAAGTACAAGGAAAGGGTTAGGAAAAGAGATGCATGGAGTAAGAAGGGGGGGTGGGAGAGAAAATGGAGAGAGAGAGATTCTGAGATTTAATGGAAGCTGAGGGAACAGGAGCCCAAGGAGAGGGGGAGGGAAGTCTCTGAATCACGGAGCACATGAAGACGAGATGCCAGGAGTGAGGAAAGGGAGAGGGAGACTGGGGCTTAATGAGAGGCTGCAGGGAGAGAGGAAGAGAGTGGAGACTTCCAGAGTCTGCCTTCCCAGTTACCCCCTGTTAGGACTCGCTGTTTCAGGTCAAGACTGTGTCTTTGTAGGGTTGGCCTCCTTCGGAGTCCCAGTGAAAGGGAGCAGGAGGGAGAGGAAGAGTTAGAGTGTACCTCAAAGCCAAATCAGTGGTGTTCACAGGGGCTGGTAACAGCAGCCAGGTCCAGTCAGAGTTCTTTACGTGCCTTTCCCAAAAGATTGCAGGTCGGGGGGTCTTGGGAGGGTTTTGGCACCGTATGATAAGTAAATCAAGGCAAATCAGGAGAAAGGACAAGGACACAAACTCTGGCGGGATAGAGTTTATTGGCAGGGAAGACACACAGGACAGTCCCCAGTTCAGGATAGAGGAGCTAACAGTTTGTTGGCTGGGAGTTTTAACACGGGCTGGGGGGTGGGCAGGGCAGAAAGCGGGGAGACATTTTTTCAAAACAAATTAGGTGGGGGAGAGCCAAGGCCTTATCGGGGAGAACAGCCTCTGTGAAACTGCCCCCTTCCATCAGCCAGGATCTGGGATAAGGGGTCTTATACATGGTGAAACTTATCAGGGGAAATAGCTTGTACTGAGACAGTTCCTACATCAGAGGGTCTACAGTACAGGGGCCTGTTTATCTTCTAAGATTATCAAAGGGGAAGCAGACTGTGCTGAAACAGCTCTTTGCAGTAATCAGGTTTTGGGTCAAAGGTAGCGAGTCTGTTTATCTTGTCTGCAGATGGTCAGGGTGCCCACTAACTCAGATCCTGTAATTCCAGAGAGCCTGTAAAACCATGAGGGGAGGGGGTTGCTGTAGATCTGAACCCTAACATTTCAGCCTTTCGTGTTATAGGATGGGGGCACCGTTGTAGTCAATGTTATTTTCTGCTGAACATGGTCGACGTGGGTGAGGCTGGATTAGGGATCAGTCAGACAGCGGGGGTTCCCTCCCCCTACGTCTGCACAGGGTCCTTGATGGTCAGCAGGTACTTGTATACATGTGGAGGGAAGGAAAGTAATAGCTGACTAAAATTAGTATGAGTTAATTGTTGGGTTCCGCCTTGAAAATATTTGAAGAGGCAAGCAGCAATAGTTAGCAACAAAGTAATAGAAAGCAGGGGGCTAAGTAAGGGCAGAAGCCAGGGAGTCAGTCCTGCAAAAATACCCGTTGTGGTGACTGCTGGTACTGGGAAGTTCTAAGTGAAAGATAAACTCTTTTAGGGATAAGAGCTCCCAGATACTTTTAACATTTTTGGCCTTTGGAATAGAGTACTTTGCTGAAAGGCCCAAAAACAATTTGACTTTAGCCAAGAAAGAAACTGGCTACTTTTCTTTGGGGTGTTTTAACCCTAACTGCCGAGCCAATTTCTACCTCCTATTATCACACCATCCTCTGAAGAGGTTACCCAAATTGCTGATAGGGAATCGGGCCGCAGACCTCTCTGACTTTTTCATGTTGAACAGGGATGCAGGGTAAGGCAATTGGAGTACCCCTTCCATGGGTCTATCTAAAAGACTCCCAAATTGCATAACTCTTAACTATAGGGAGAAAAAAAGTCCTTGACTGGTGCCTAGGCAATGTGAAGAAGTAGAGGCAACAGTAGTTAGATTACTAGTTCTAGACAGAGTGAAAGTCATGAAGTTACCAACTCTACTGTAAAATGTTCGGTTTGAATTTTTTTTTACGTTTTATGTGTGTGTGCCTGCATTTATGTAAATACACCTGTTCATACAGTGCCAGCAGAGGCCAGAAGAGGGCATCAGAGCCTCCAGAGCTGGAGGTGGGGACTATGGATCACTGTTAGCGATCATGTGGGTGCTGGGAACCAAGCCAGGGTTCTCTGCAAGAGATGCCAGTACTCATGACCGCTGAGCCATCTCTTCGGCCCCTGTAAAATGTTTCTTAATTCATCTTAAATTACTTATTGTTTTGGGTTTTTTTGGTTGGTTAGTTGGTTGGTTGGTTTGGGTTTTTTTTTTTTTTTGGTCTTTTTGAGACGGGGTCTCCCTGTAGCCCCAGCTGGCCTGGAACTCACTATACAGACCAGGCTGACCTTGAATGCACAGAGATCCACCTGCCTCTGCCTCTCGACTGCTGGGATTAAAGGTGTGTGCCACCACGCCTGGCTTCTTTTGGTTTGTTTGTTTGTTTGGGGGTTTGTTTGGGTTTTTTTTGTCTTTTTGAGGCAGGGTCTCCCTGTAGCCCTGGCTGGCCTGGATTTGCCATGGAGACCAGGCTGGCCTTGAACTCAGAGATCTGCCTGCTTCTGCCTCCCGAGTGCTGGGATTAAGGGCGTGTGCCACCACGCCCGGCCTTACTTAGTGTTTTTAAATTCATTTTACTTTAGGATGGTATTGAGAATAGTTACAGTTAGATCCAGGGCATAAAAGTGATTGTCTTTGCAAAACTTTAAAGATGCCCATTTTAGCTGGGCATAGTGGTACATACCTTTCATCCCAGCACTTGGGAGGCAGAGAAAGGCAGATCTCTGAAATCAAGGGTCACCCTGGTCTACATAGTGAATTCCAAGCCAGCTGGGGCACAGGGAGACCCTGTCTCAGAAAACCAAATACAAAAATGCCCATTGTGCTTGCCTAGAGTGCATAAGGTTCTGGGTTTGATCCCTGACACTACAAAAATGAAGGGGAGAAAATAAATCATTACTTATACCATTCAAGGAAGAAAGCAAATTACCTGACAACATTTTTGATGGTGGTAGTGGTGATACTGCTCTTTGTTTTGTTTTTTGAGTCAGGGTTTCACTTTGTATCCCAGACTGGCCTTCAATTGATTATGTAATGCAGGATGGCCTTCTCATAACCTCAGAACAGTCCTGCCTGAGTATTACAAGTACTGAGATTGCTGGTGGCATAATGTGCCATACCAGGCTACCTGAGGCCATTTAAAAAAGTGAATAATCTATTAGTCACTTTAACTTTTTCCTCAAGTGCTTTCCTTTCTTTCCTTGGCTTTAAGGAAAATTGAAATTTTGTCTCAATGAGTAACCTTTCAGACATTATCTCCAACTGCCTACCTGACATTTACACTTAGATTTCAAGTATCTCAAACTTAATACATATATATAAATCAGAAGTCTTTTGTATATGTATCTGTAAGTTCACATGCACATGTGTTGATGTGAAGTTGGTCTCCACCTTATTTTTGGAGATAGGATCTCTCAGAGAAAGGTAACCTGAAGTTTGCTAATTTGGCTAGAGTAGCTTGCCAACAAGTTTCAAGGATCTTCCTGTCTCCATCTCTCTTGAAGTGGTTTTGGTCATGGTGGTAGTGGTGGTGATGGTTAGTTTTAAACAGGGTCTCATGTATCCCAGACTTGCTTGGAGCTGAATATGTAGCCGAACATGACTTTTAGCCTTTGATCCTCTTGCCTCAAAGTCCTGAGGGCTGGCATTACAGGTGTGTGCAACCAACTCCTGGTTTATATGGTGCTGGAGATCCAACTGAGGGCCTTATGTAGACAAGCATTCTACCGACTAAGCTACATCCCCAGCCCTAAATCAGAAACCTTGATGTCCCATTGCCATCTCCATCATGCTTTTCAATTTTTCCCTTTTCAATAAAAGACACCAACTGACTTACCAACTTCCTTTTCCATGGTTCTCCAAGTTACCAGCCTCAAGCTCTGTTGATTAAATTTCATACCTTTGCACAATGCTGTCACTGTGACCTGAAATGGTCTTCATTTGACTAGAACTTGATTAGCTAATTCATGCCTTTGTTTTTTGTGTTTTGTTTTTGAGACAGGGACTCTTGTACCCCAGGCTTATCAGGAATTCACTCTGTAACCAAAGTTGACCTTGAATTCCTGATCTCCTGCCTCCACATCTTCAGTTCTGAGATTACAGGTATGCACCACAACACCCAGCTTCATTCTTTAGATTTTAGTTTAAATGTTGCTTCCTTAAGAGAGGAGTGTCTATTACCTATTTTAAAGCAGGTTTCTGTATGATCTTAACAGGTTCTTACTGTACCTTGAATTTCTCATCACGGCATTGCCAGTTTGTCTTTTGTATTTGTTAAAACATGCTTTCCAGCCAGGCATGGTGGTATACTCCTTTAGTCCCAGTACTTGGGAGGCAGAGGCAGGTGGATCTCTGAGTTCAAGGCCAGCCTGGTCTACATAGTGAGTTCCAAGACAGCTGGGGCTATAGGGAGAGCCTGTCTCAAAAAGACCAAGAAAAAAAAAATGCTTTCCTTTTTAATTAGACTATAAAGGTCAAGATGTCTGGTATTTTGGTTGAAGGTATAGCTCATTGTTAGCATGCACTAGGGCCTTCACATAGGAGGTGGTCAGTTTTTACTAAAGCTAGTTCGTGATTCCTTCAACTCCTAGAGCAGTGTGCTTGTATGAACCAATACCTCTTCCTGTTCTTATTCTGACGTGTAGAAAGGCTCAAGGAGGGTATCATGAACAGAACTGTCAGCAACACACTTTCCACTTGCCTCATGAAAGGAGCATGGGGTTGGGTTCCAGCATATGATGACTCATTAAAGCTTTAGCTGTTTAGAAGCCCCTAGACTATATGAGGCCAAAATTCCTTTAGCTTAAAAAGTAAATATCTCTCAGCTGAGTGTGGTGGTGCTCACCTTTAATCCTAGCACTCAGGAGGCAGAGACAGGCTGATCTCTGTGAGATACAGACCAGTCTGGTCTACATAGTCAATTCCAAGCCAGCTGGGGCAACAGGGAGACCTTGTTTCAAAAAGTAAAAAATGTGTATGTGTATCTCATCTACATTCTTTTTTTATTATTTTCATTTTATGTGTATGAGTGTATTGCCTGCATATTGTGCGTGTGCCCATGTTGTGCAATACCTGTAGAAGTCAGAAGAGGAGCCCCTGGAACTGAAGTTGGCATAGTTGTCAGCCACCATGTACACACTGAGAACCGAATCCTAGGTCCCCTGTAAGAGCAGCCAGTGCTCTTAATCACTGAGCCATCTCTCCAGCCCATCCTCTAAATTCTTATCCATTGATATTGGAAGTATAAATTAATAAAACCCCTTGGGAACAGAGAGACCCTGTCTTAAAAAAAGGAAAAAAAAAAAACCACATAGGAAAGTAATTGGACCTTACATAGTAAAATTGTACATGTAGTTCTCTAATCCTTGGCCCAGTATTCTGCCCCATAATAGCAATAACAGATTTATTTCCTAGCACTCTGACCTCCTCTGAAGGTGAGATGAGTTTGGAATTGATAATGATGATCACTTCTGGATAATTGAGGAGTGGCACATTTAGTGCTGCCCCCCACCACCACCACCAAAGACAAGATCTTACTGTATAACCCTGACTGGGCTGGAACTCATTCTAGCCCAAGCTGGCCTTGAATTTGCAGCAATATCTCTTGCTTCAGCGCTCAAAGTCCTTATGAGGTACCATGTGTGATAGTCTCAAAACTATTAGAGACTATATACTTCCAAGCCTCCTCATATATTTTTAAAGTAAATTATAATTTGTAGTTGTTCATTTTTTTCCCAGCTCAAGAAGTTCTTTATAATATCTAACCAAGATTCTTCCAAGTCTAATTTAAAGTTGGAAATAATGTTGCTGCTGTACAGCTTGAAGGAATTCTGGTTTGGGACTAATGAGATGACTCATTGGTTAAAAGCACTTGCTATGCAACCATGAGGACCAGAGTTCAGATCCCAGTACCAGTGTTAGAAGCCAGGGGTTCCCCACAGTCCTGTAACCCCAGCTCCAGGGGAAGAGGAGACCAGAGAATCACTAGGGCTTGCTGGCTTCCAACCTAGGTGAGAAAACCCAAGTCCTGGGGTCAGAAAAGAGATCCTGTCTCAAAAGAATAAGCAGGGAGTGATCGAGGAGGACACCTGACAAAGGCCCATACAACCACATGTGTTCATACAATTCACACTGGCACAGACATGTATGCATGCACAGAGAAATCTTGGGGGGGCGGGGGAGACAGAGATCTGGCTTACAGATAGATATTAGACAAGTTACTAGAGAACCCCAAACCCATTCTTTCCTAAAGTCCTCCATTTTCTCTGGCAGTTTCATTAACTACCTGTTTTCCATTCCATCTTAGTTCACCCACTTTGCTCCCTTTACAGGTTAAATGATGATGTGTTCTCTACATGCACAGGACTTAAAAGAAGAGATTGATACTCGACTATCCAGGGTTCAGGATATCAAGTATGAACCCCAGCTCCTTGCAGATGATGATGCAAGACTACTGCAACTGGAAACCCAGGGAAATCAAAGTATGTGGCAAGATCTTGCAGGTTACTTCTGTAAGGAAGTCCCTCGAATTTAGATTGCTCTTGGGGGTTTCCACTTTTAACAATCCTCAGTTACTGAGTATGTGGCAGATGCATGGAAGCTCGGGCTGTTGGTTAGCTGTATTCTTGGGAGCTTTGGAGGTTAACAGCTGAAACAGTCTTTTTCTCAACAGGTTGCTACAACTATCTGTACAGGATGAAAGCTCTGGATGCCATCCGTGCCTCTGGTAAAGTAGCTAATAAGGTTCATTCTAGAGCTTTAAAAAATCACCTAGGGAACAGGGTGATAAACTGCTTTCTGTATGGTTTCTTTTTTAATTTTTATTTATTTTTAATACTTTATTATCTTTTATGTGTATGGGTGTATTGCCCAAATGTAAGTAGGTGTATCCATGTCATGCAGTACCTGTGGAGGTCAGAAGAGGGTATTGAATCCCTTAGAACTGGAGTTACAGGTGGTTGTTGGCCACCATTTGGGAGCTGGGAATCAAACCTGGGTCCTCTGCAAGAGCAGCGAATGCTCTTAACCACTGAGCCATCTCTCTAGTCCCCTACTTATTTTTGAGATAGGGTCTCACTATGTAGCCCTAGCTAGAGAACTGGCCTAGAACTCCATATATTTAAAGTGTTGGTATTAAAGGCATGTACCACCAAGGCCTTGTCTTTATTATTTGTATTTATGCTTCTGTGAGTTTATGTGTATGTAAAAGAACCTGCAGAGGCTAAAAGAAGGCATGGGATCCCCTAGAATGGGAGTTACAAATGATTGTGAGCTACCATGTGAGTACTGGGAGCCAAACCCAGTTGTGTGAATTGGATGATTTTTTTTTTTTTTTTAACAAAGGACTGGTGGCATGTACTTTTTCACTAAGCCCAAGCAAGTTGAATTTTTTTTTATTATGTGATTACTTGTCTTGTATATTTTTGGGGGGTTTTGTTTTTGTTGTTATTGTTGTTTTGGGTTTTTTTTTGAGACAGGGTCTCCCTGTAGTACCAGCTGTCTGTCTAGACCAGACTGGCCTTGAGCTCTCAGAGATCCACCTGCTTCTGCCTCCTGAGTGCTGGAATTAAAGGCGTGCACCATCATGTTCAAATATGTTCTTTTTTTTTTTTTTTACGTTTTATTTATTATTTTTATTTTATGTGTATGTGTATAGTGCCTGCATGTAGATAAGTGCACCCATGTCGTGCAGTGCCCATGGAAGACAGAAGAGACTGTCGGATCCCCTAGAACTGGAGTTACGTACAGTTGTTAGCTGCTGCTTGGGTTCTGGGATTTGAACCCAGGTCTTCTGCAAGAACAGCCAGTGTTCTTAACTGCTGAGCCATCTCTCCAGCCCATATGTTCTTTTTGGGAAAAAAAAAAAAAAGATTTATTTTTAATTATGTGTATATGGGGGGTGGGGGCTCTGTACTTGTGAGTGCAGTGCAGTGCCCTTGGATACTGGAGGCACAGATAGTTGTGAGCTGCCTGGCATGGATGCTGGGAACAGAAACTCAGATCCTCTGCAAGACCAGTACATGCTCTTAACTGCTGAGCCATTTTTTCAGCCCTGTGTTATATGTTCTTATGTCTACCAAAACAGTTTCTATCTTATTTATTTTTATTTTTTTGGTCTCTTCGAGACAGGGTCTCCCTGTAGCCCCAGCTGTCCTGTGCTGGAGCTCACTATGTAGACCAGGCTGGCCTTGAACTCACAGAGATCTGCCTGCCTCTGCCTCCCAAGTGCTGGGATTAAAGGTGTGCACTACCACGCCCGGCTAACAGTTTCTATCTTAAAGCCAAGATGGTTAAGTAGGACAGTAGAAAGAATGTTGGTATAACTTAGAGCTGTGTTTTTCACCACCCAAATGACCATTTGGATATACCTGTATGTCTCAGATCTATGTTTGGGAAGTTAACTAGAAAAAAACAAAGACAGAAGAGGTATCATTCATTGTGCTCTCGTCTTCTTAGAGATACCATTTCATGCTGAAGGCCGACACCCCTGTTCTTTAATGGGTAAGAATTTCCGCTCCTACTTGCTAGACCTGCGAAACACTAGCACACCTTTCAAGGGTGTACGAAAGGCCCTCATTGATACTCTGCTGGATGGATATGAAACAGCCCGCTATGGGACAGGGGTAAGCTGGGTAGTTTTTGTTTTTTTGTTTTTTTTTTTTTAATATCTTATTACTTTTATGTGTACGAGTGCATTGCCAGCATGTATGTGAGTGCAGCAGTGTTGTGCAGTGCCGCAGAGGTCAGAAGAGGGCATCAGATTCCTCTGGAACTGGAGTTAAGGATGGTTTGTAGCCGCCATGTGGGTGGTGGGAATCAAACCCGAATCCTCTGCAAGAGCAGTCAGTGCTCCCAACTGCTAAGCCATCTCTCCAGCCCCATAAGCTGGGTAGTTTTTAATTCAAGGATCTGAAGGGATGGGATGCTCTAGACTAAGAGTGCCTAATTCTTCCTTTCTCTATCCTAAGGTCTTTGGTCAGAGTGAGTACCTGCGTTATCAGGAGGCCCTGAGTGAGCTGGCCACTGTGTGAGTATCATGAGAAACACATCAAAGAGGGCTGTAGACAGTGTAGAAGTAGATTATGGCAGGAGAATCAGCCCAGGCCGCATAGCAAGACCTTGTCGCTAAATAAAAGTAGACCAAAAAAAGAATACAAAAGTGCTAGCTAGGCTGTTCCTTATAGCACTTGCCAGCATTAGAAAGCATATGTTTTGCCATACAAGCTAGTAAGAGAAACATACGCTTTGTGTGTATCTTGTTTGAGAGGGCCAGGGTCTCACTATGTAGCCCTAGCTGGTCTGGAACTCACTATGTAGACCTGGCTGGCTTCAGACTCACAGAGATCTGCCTACCTTTGCCTCCTGAGCCCTGGGATTAAAAGTAAGTATGCACCTCCACGAATGGCTCTGGTTTTTGTTTTGTCTAGCCCACTAAAATGTCAAAATGATGTGCCGTAGCAAAAGGATTAAAGTTTTTCAGCACCTTTCTTTCTGTTCCAGGCTCCTCTTTTTGTGCCTTCATCCAATAAAAAATTAAATACTACCCAATTTTCTTATGATCTGAAGTATTATAACCTTGTCTTGAAATAAAGAGCCTCAGTAGAGAGTCAGCTTAAAAGTGCTTAGTGAAGGAGCTAGAGAGATGGTTCAGTGATTAAGAGCACTGACTGCTCTTGCAGAGGACTCAGGTTCAATTCCCAGCACCCACATGGCAGCTACAAACCATCCTTAACTCCAGTTACAGGGGAATCCAAAACCCTCTTCTGATCTCCGTGGTGTTGCACAACATGGGTGCAATCACATACATGCAGGCAATACATTCATACACATAAAATAAAAATAATAAATAAAAATTTTTTTTAAGTGCTTAGTGAAAAAGGAAAGCCATTTTAGAGTTAGTTATTAGAAGCTGGGGATATAATTCAGTTGATAAGAGTGTTTACTAAGCATGCACAAATCCCTGGGTTTAGTCCCTAGTGCTGGATAAAACCAAGCACAATGGTTGTGCACCTTTAGTCCCAGCACTCTGAAGTTGGAGGCAGGAGGACCAGAAATTCAGGTACATAAGGAATTTCAAGACCAGCCTGGGCTACACATGAGACCCTATCTCAAAAAATAGCAAGGGGGCTAGAGAGATGGCCCAACAGTTAAGAACACTTGTTGCTCTAACCAAGGTCACAGGTTCAGATCCCAGCTCCAAAGTCAGGTGACTCACAACCACCTTTAACTCCCACTCCAAGGAATTTGATGTCCTCTTCTGACCTCCACAGACAACTGTCACATGTGGCAGATACACATGAGTAAAATAGTTTTTTTTTTTTTTTACTTTGAGACAGGGTCTCCCTGTAGCCCTAGCTGGCCTGGAACTCAAAAAGATCTGCCTGCCTCTGCCTCCCAAGTGCTGGGATTAAAGGCATGCATATGCACCACCACGCCCAGCCAAAAATAAGTAAATTTTTTAAAAAGCCAGCAGCTGTGAAAATAATATGGTTTCTACCATGTTCTTTTGCATAGAACAGTAATGAAAATTGAACACATTTGGTTTAAAAGTTAGGCAAGTAGGCTGGAGAATTGACCCAGGGATTAAGAATACTTGCTACTTTTCTAGAGAACCTAAGTTCTCTTCCTAGCACCTACATTAGGCAGCTCACAACAACCTGTAACCCCAGCTCCAAGAGATCCAACACTCTCTGGCCTCCACGAGTACCCACACACAGATGACATGCATTCACAAAGACACACATAAAAATAAAGCCTAAAAATTATATAAGGTACGAAACCAATTCAAAACCTCATTTTGAAAGATAAATACTAGGCTAGAGAGATGGCTCAGCAGTTAAGAGCACATACTGCTCTTCCAGAGGACCTGAGTTAGTTCCCAGCACCCACATTTGGTGGCTTACCACAACCTGTAACTCCAGCTTCAGGAGATCCAGTGCCCTCTTTTGGTCTCTAAGGGTATCCACACATACACATAAATAAAAATTAAATAAAATCTTT